AAGACCAGAAGAGTGGTGGGATGACATCAAGAACATCATACGTGAAGAGAGCAAAAAGACGTTAAGAAGACAAGAAAGAAGGAAAAGGACAAAATGGATGTCAGAAGAGACTCTGAAACTTACTATCCAGTGTAGAGATGCTAAAGCAAATGGAAGAATTGAGGAGGTCCAAGAGCTGAACAGACAACTTCAAAGATCAGCTCGAGAAGATAAAGCCAAATACTATAATAAAATATGCAAAGATTTGGAATTAGAAAACCAAAAAGGAAGAACACGTTCAGCATTTCTCAAGCTGGGGGAACTGAAGAAAAAATTCAAGCCTGGACTTTCATTATTGAAAGATTCTCTGGACAAATTATTGAATGATGCAGAATGCATCAAGAAAAGATGGAAGGAATACACAGAGTCATTGTACTAAAAGGAAAAGGTTAATGTTCAACCATTTCAAGAGATACCATATGATCAAGAGCCAATGATACTTAGGGAGGAAGTCCAAAGTGCATTGAAAGAATTGGCAAAGAACAAGGCACCAAAAATTGATGGAATAAAAATTGAAATCTTTCAAGAAAGTGAGGCAGCACAAGGGGCACTCACTCATCTCTGCCAAGGAAATTTGGAAGACAACTATCTGGCCAGCTGATTGGAAGAGATCATTCTGTTGTGCACAGGATCCTTATGAATCAGAACAGGCGTGATGGGACCTAACAACAACAAGGACTTTGCCAATATCTATTAGTGGTAAAGGTATGTTGGAAATACATGGTAGAAAGGAAGACAGTCCATAAAACCAGATGTTCTCAATTTCCCCCCAGACATGTCTTGAAATGTGACATTCCATTCCCCAAACTGTCATTTCTTTAATCCTGTAGGCAAAGGTTTCACCTCCCAACGTGTTCCTGCAAGCTAAGGTTCTGAACGAGGACGCTACTGTAGAACAATCTCTTCAAACAGTGTCTGTTGTGTTTAATTGAATTGCACAATCAGTCTTGAACCTCCAGTGCTTTTTAAGTAGACCTCATGAAGAGAGGCCATGCAGTTCATGGACTGCAGCTTTAACGGCTTAGTTCTAAATCCCACCTCCACTCATGATATTTCTGCACCTTAGTTTCTTTATATGTTGGACAGGGATGATGGTGAAAATAGGATTGTTGTGAGGAAAAAATGAGTAAACTCAGTGATTATGCAAAGTCTATAGGTCAGTTGCTTGCACGGAGTATACAAGCATGTATGTTAGCTATTATTATGATGCCTGAGTAGTTGCCAATTTTGTGCCTTCCTTCCAGAATATACTCATGTACTGGCTATATATACGTATAAGTATATACACATGTACTGGATATATATACATGTAAATACACACACACAAAGTTTTCATGGTCTTGATGTCAGGATGTTTATAATCTTTATAGGGCATTGTATACAACAAAAAGTGTACAAAAGCTTTTAATTTAATGAGCTTACAAGCACTGTAGTTTGGGCAGCAGACCAAAGGAAAGATGATGTTTATTTCTCCAGCATCTTCCTAAGGGTTAATGTTATTTTGTAACCATCAAGTCCATGCAGAAAGTAGAAAGGAGTGTGAGAGGTCTAAGTTTTTTTTTTTTTTCAACTATTCTTTTTCTTCATAGTCTCATCTGAAAATATCCATTCCTTCATTCACTCCAGTAAAATTTATTCAAAGGAATTGGTAAAGGAGATAGAAAGATAGAAAGCAGGAATGGGAGGTGAATTACCAATGTGAACATTTTGCCAGCAGTTTAGTTTCCTGTGTGGAGGAAAGTCTGTGACTACTTTTGCCTGTAGAAGGCTTAGCTCCAAGCAAGTAGTCAAGTTTGTTTCCAGGCTTCAGGTTTCCCAGTGAATTTACCTTTGCATACACAAGAAAGGAGTAACTAACACAAAACACCTCATTTCCAAAAGCCTGAGGGTGCTAGTTGTCTTTTTTTTTACTTCAGATGTCTATTGGTTTAAGTATTTGAAATCTGAACCTGTTATGCACACACATTTCCATTGCAATTTCATAGCCAGAGGATTTCCTTGTTTATTACCTGCCAACTGGGCATCTTGAAAATCTGGTTTCTTTGCCATTCTTTTGTAAAGTAGAGGAACCTGAGGCTGCAACAATCCAATGTAAGTGGTATTGAAGCTTCCGTTCCTGCATGCATTACCTGCTTTTCCTTTCTACACATTAGTGTTTCTATTTGACCTACTCATGGCTTTTTACGTTCATTGTTGTTGTTGCTGTTAAGTGCCATCAAGTCGGTTCCAACTCACAGCGACCCTGTATAGGGTTTCTGAGGAGCAGCTTGTGAGCTTGAACTGCAGACCTTACAGTTCAAACCGACTTTACAGACCAGCGCATTAACCCATAGTGCCACATCGGTACTCCTTTATGTTCATAGACTTCAACATTTTTTTTCTTTGCTGCCAACTAGAGTTGCCATTTTCCTAACTTTATTTGTTGGAATCATTTGTCTTAAACTAGAAACAAATTCAAAAGGAGATGTGGATACTCACATGGAAGTGCAGTGTAGTTTTATCTGGGATTAATAGTATTATGATTTGAATTGTGTATCTGTAAAATGAGTTCTGGTAGCGTAGTGGTTACGAATCAGGCTACTAACCTCAAGGTCAGCAGTTCGAAACTACCAGCTGTTCCATGGATAAAGATGAAGCTTTCTGCTCCCTTAAAGATTTACAGCCTTGGAAACCCTATGCAGGGTTGCTATGAGTCAGAACCGACCCTATGGCACATATCCACAACCACCAAAAAGATATGAAGTCCTGGTGAGGTGCTGTAGGATAAAGCACTGGACCGCAAGGTCAATTTGAACCATTGGTCAGAGGCGAAATTGACTTGACAGCAGTTAACACCAACACAAAAAGATTTGTTGAAGTCCTAAAACTTGGTGCCTGTGAATGTGATCTTATTTGGACATAAAGATTCTGCAGATGAGGTCATTTGGTATATGGTGGACACAAATCCAGTATGATGACAGGTATAATGAAAAAGGACAAGAGACACAGCCATAATTATAGGTGCAGGGAAGACAGAGATAGACAGAGATAGAGACAGAGATTGGAGTTATGCTGCCACAAACCAAGAACTCCTAGACTAACAGAAGCTGAGAGAGACAAGGAAGAATGTTACACTTGAGCCTACATTACATAGCTTTGCCACACACATACCTTGAATTCAGACTTCTAGCTTCCAGAACTGAGACAATAAATTTATGTTGTTCTAAGTCACCCAGCTTGCGGTACTTTGTTACAGAAGCCTTAGGAAGCTAATATAAAATTATTACCTTCGTATTTCACTGGCACTTGTTCTCTACTTATATTAGAACTCAGCCGTAGCAGAATCCCTTCTAAAGCTTTCTAGATTTCCCGGGCAATTTGACTCAATCCTCTCATATTCTTCTCCTTGGCCCCCTTCTGCAACCACTTGAAACCACATCACTTCAACTACGGCTAAGTTTCTTTATGGAAAGGCTAATGTCTAGGCCTGTGGTATTTTAGACTGATTTACAAAACCATAAATGCTGAAGGATCAACATGATACCTGCATACGCGAGAACAGGATTCCTTCTAATACAGTCACTGTTCATACCCGACTCTCAGATTGTCTTTTCTGGTGAAAACAGGACCCTGAGCTACTACCAGTGGTTCCACGGGAGAAAGATGAAGCTTTCTGCTTCCATAAAGATTTACAGACTTGGAAACCCTATATGGGGTCACTATGAGTCAGAACCAAATCCATGGCACACAGCCACCACCACCAGGCTAAAGCTTTAGGATATAAAAATAGCTAACATTGAGCCTGTAGTGAAGTGATTTTTTTCAATAGTTTACAATGAAAAATTTCCAATATAAAGAAAGGTAGAAAGCATCAGTGAACATCTGTAATACCTAAAATGAACACCTAGAGTCTATGATTAAGATTTTATTATAATAATTTTTATGACATTTTCTTTGCATCAATTCATTCCTCTGTCCACCCAATCACAAGTCATAATTATGCTGATGCATCTCAAAGTAAATTACAGAATCACTTCATCTCATCCTTAAACACTTTGCTGTGGTTGTTAAGTACCATTGAGTGGATCTCACCTCATAGCAACTCTGTTTCCAAGGAGTGGTTGGTGAGTTTGAATCGCTGACCTTGTGGTTCAAACTGATCTTGCAGTCCAGTGCTTTAGTACACCAGGATTCCATTAGTATGTGTATTATTCACTAGAATTCAGTACTTATTTATGAACAAACATTATTTCATTTCTTTCTATTTGAAGCATAATTTACATACAGGAAAATGCACAAATTTAAAATATTTTAATGGGTGAGTTTTGACAAATGCATATACCAATGTCAGCCAACCCTGTCAAGAAAGAGAACTTACGACCAACACATTAGGGGACTCTCTCAGAAGCTTTTCCAGTCAATTCCTGCAGAAGAAATCCCTTGGAGGCAACCATTGTTCTGACCTATTCCACATAGGTTAGTTTTGCCTGTTCTTTGATTTCATATAAATAAATTCATCCACTATGTGTTCGTTTCAGCTTATTTCAATCATTATAATTTTTGTGAGATTCATTCATACTATTATTATTATCAATAGTTTATTTCTTTTTATTATTGAATTATATTTGCTTATTCATCATTCTCTTTTTGATGGGCATCTGAGACTTTTCTAGTTTTGGGTAATTATGAATAAAGTAGCTCTGAACAACTCAGTATATGTTACTGACTAGTCTATGGAATTTTTCCTTTCTTCTTTATATAACTATTGTTTACACATTGATTATTTCCAAAGTTATATATCCAGCCTGGAACTGCTCTGGAATTCCAGATTCTTAAATCCATTTGTTAACTCAATGTATATATATATATTTTTTTTTTCCTCTAAATTTTATTTATTTTATTGTTCTTGAAAATATAAAAGCAAAATATACCGATTCAGTGGTTTCTACTTGAGCAATTCTGATCTGCATTTTATCTCTTTTGATTAGGATTCTGCACTGGAATCTTTGATCAAAATGTTCATTAGTGGTAACCAGGCACCATTCAGTTCTTCTGGTCTCATGACAAAAGAAGCAGTTGTTTACTGAGGCAATTCATATTTCATATTCTCTTCTTCTTCCTACATCTCCTTCTTCTTCTCTTGATCCAGGTGAATAGAGTCCAATTGTCCACCTTTCAAATGCATATGAAGTAGTTAAAAATACCAGGGTTTGAGTCAGGCAAACCCTAGTCATCAAACTGACAGTTCTGCTCTTTCACCCTGTAAAGAGGTCTTGTGCAGCAGATTTGCTTAATACAATATGTTGTTTGATTTCTTGATTACTGCTTCCATGGATACTGATTGTGACAAGAAAAATAAATTCCATGACAACTTCAATATTTTCTCCATTTATCATGATGTTTTTTGTTGATCCAATTGTGCGGATTTTTGTTTTCTTAACATTGAGGTGCAATCCATACTGAAGGCTGTAGTCATTGATGTTCAACTGTACGTATTTTAAATCCTCTTTGCTACCAGGTAGCAAGGTTGTGTTATGTGCATATCTCAGGTAGTTAGTGAGTCTTCCTGATGCCACATGCTTCTTCATATAATCCAGCTGCGTGCATTATTTACTCAGCATACAGATTGAATAAATACAGTGAGAAGATACAACATTGGTGAATACCTTTCCTGTTTTTAAATCATTCAGTATCCCCTTTCTCTGTTCTAACAACTGCGTCTTGGTTCTTCAAGAGCATACTGAATTGTTCTGGAGCTTCCATTCTTTGCAATGTTTGTTATGTTCTACACAGTGGAATGTTTTTGCATACTCAATAAAACATAAGTAAAATTCTTTCTGGAATTCTTTGCTTTCAACCAAGATCTGTCTGATGTCATGTTCTCTTCTGAATCTAGCTTGAATTTCTGGCAGTCGCCTATCAGACTGCAGAAATTGTTTTTGAATTTTCTTCATCAATTTTTTTTTTTTTTTTTACTTTTATGTGCATTGTATTTTAAGTTAAATTTACTCCCAAGCCATAAGTTTTTGTTTCTTCAGTTTCTTCTGAGATATCTTTTTCTTCTGGGCAACCTCCTCTTCTGGTTTAGGAACAATTTGTTCCTTTTCAGTGAGGATCATCTCAATATGGCAGGGGGAGCTCATGTAGTGGTTGATCTGACCATGAGCTCTGTGAGTTGGGTGGCGCATCTTGGGAGTTTGTTGACCTGGATATGCTCAATGACCAGAGAATCCACATCTAAACCCTTAAGTTCAGCATTGCTCTCTGCATTTTTAAGCATGTGCAGCAAAAATTCAGCACTCTTTTTGGGCCACCGACCCTGTGTCCAACACCACTGTTTAGCCTGGGCACATCTACCAACGCCACCATTGTAACGTTGGAATGGTACACATTGCTTCTGCAAAGTGACATCTTTAAGATACTTGGTGGCTTTCCGGATATGCATACCCTTGATGGCCTGGGTAGTCTCAGGGGTGTTCTTAAAATGAACCCCGAGATTTGACCCTCTGGATTTGCATGATTTTGTGGGGTTTTCTGGGTCAAATGAGTAGCGCACCATTTTGTGAGATTACCTCAGGCCGCTTACGGGAAGAGCTCTTCATCAAAACTTTACTTGCATTTGATATTAATGATATGGTTCAATGATTGCTGCATTCAATTGGGTTACTTTTCTTTGGGATGGACACAAATACGATCTCTTTCAATTGTTTTGGAGATAACTGTCTTCCAAATTTCTTGTCATAGATGAAGGAATATATTTCGCACTGCATCAACTTATGTAAACATTTCCGTTTGTATTTCATCAATATTTGGAACCTTGCTTTTCCACCAATGTCTTTGGTACAGCTCAGATTAATCCTTTAATATCATTAGTTCCTGAACATGTACTACCTCATGAAATGGCTGAGTAATGGCCAGTTCTTTTTGGTACATAGACTCTGTGTATTCCTTCCTTTTTCTTCTTTTTTTAAAATTAGCTATGGTGCTTAATGCTATCATGCAATCTCCAACATCATTTCTATCACCAAAACTGTGGCCTTGGAGATAGAAATGATGTTGGAGATTGCATGATAGAATTATGCAAAATCAATGATTTGTCCATTTCAAATACCTTTTTTAAACAGCATAAGAGACGGTTATACATGTGGACCTCACCAGATGGAATACACAGAAATCAAATTGACTGCATCTGCAGAACGAGGCTATGCAAAAGCTCTATATTATCAGTCAAAACAAGGCCAGGGCGGATTGTAAAGCATACCATCAATTGCTCATATGCAAATTCAAACTAAAGCTGAAGAAAATGAAAATAGATCCACAAGAGCTAAAATATGGCCTTGAATATATCTCACCTGAATTTAGAGATCATCTCAAGAACTGATTTGATACATTAAAAACTAAAGAATGAAGACCAAAAGAGTTGTGGGATGACATCAAGAACAACATTTTTAGCAACAGAGAAATTATTAAAGTTGTCAAGGACTTCATCCTTCTTGAATCTACTATCAACACTCATGAAAGTAGCAGTCAAGAAATCAAAGGACGTACTGCATTTGGCAAATCTGCTGCACAAGACCTTTTTAAAGTATTGAAGAGCAAATATGTCAGCTTGATGACTAAGGTATGCCTGACCCAAGCCATGGTATTTTTAATAACCTCATATGCATGTGAAAGCTGGACAGTGAATAAGGAATTCTACAGAAGAATTGATGTATTTGAGTTGTGGTGTTGGAGGAGGATACTGAAAGTGCCATGGCTGCCAAAAGAACCAACAGATCTGTGTTGGAAGAGGTGCAGCCAGAGTGCTCCTTAGAGGCCAGGGTGTCCAAACTTTGTCTCCCATACTTTGGACATATTGTCAGGAGGGAGCAGACACTAGAGAAGGATATCGTGTTTAGTAAGGTGGAAGGTCAGAGAAAAAGAGGAAGACCCCCAGCGAGATGGATTGGCAAAGTGGCAACATCAATGGGCTCAAGCGTGGCAACAATTGTGAGGTTGGACCAGGATCGGGCAGTGTTTCATTCTGTTGTGCATAGGGTCGCTATGAGTAGGTAGTGACTCAATGGCACCTAACAATATCAACAACCCTTCCAAATTTTGTCCATAGGTAAATGCAGTCCTTTTTTTTTTTTTTTTTTATCTCAAATAGCTGATTATTCTATATTGGCTATACTTCCCAAATGTTACTGTTCCCTTTATAAACTGTTTATCATTCAACTGATAATTGAGCCATAGTGGTGAGTTCATTTGTAAACCTGAAGGTGACTAAGGGCTACCATCTCTGGGTTTTCACTAGTAAGTTTTGTCTTTTATTATGTTCAGAAATTTTTCTTTTATTTCTATTTTGCTGAGAGTTATCAAGAATTAATGTTGGATTTTATAAAATGCCTTCTTCTGCAATAATTGATATAAATTTGTGGTTCTTTTCCTTTGTTTCATCTATGTATTAGATTATGTTTGTTGCTTTCCTAATGTTGAACCATTCTTGCATATCTGGTATGAGTCAGACTTAGTTATGATGAGTTACTTTTTTGATGTGGTATTGGATTCTATTGGCTAAGATTTTGTTTAGGATGTTTGAGTCTGTGTTCATGAGGAATATTGATTTGTAATTTTCTTTTCTAGTGTTGTCTTTGCCTGCTTTGGGTATCAGGACTATGCTCTCTTAGTAAAATGAATTCACAAGTATTCCATCCTTTTGTATATTTTAGAACAATTAATGAATAGACTTGTCAATGCTCTTCTGAATATTTGGTGGAATTCTCCAGTGAAGCTGACTGAGCCTGCTGGGAGTTTTTTTTTTTTTTAACAATTTGTTCAATTTCCATTTCTTCTAGATTTTCAAATTTGTTGGCGTATAGGTCATCATGATATTCTGTTATTATTCTTTTTATTTTGTTTGGTTCTGTTGTAACATTGGTCATTCGTTTCTTATTCATATTTATTTTTGTTATTTGTGAGACGTTTCTCAATTTTGTTACTCTTAGATCTAAGTATCAACTGGTAGTATTGATTGTTCTGATTGTTT